GTCGGTGGTGCCTCTTGCATACTCGCATCATTCTAATCCGAAGTTTTGTGCCGAAATTCGATTCGTGGCACTTTTGATTGATTTTGAACAGATTTTGATTATATGACCTATTGGAGGAACAAAAGTAAAATCAGATCACTTTTAGATAGAGTTGATTTTTATGTTGGTGCGATGCTGGAAGATCCGGTGCTAAAGGGTCTGATTGGACCTACGCTTGCGTGTGTTGTAGGACCACAATTTCAGCGAACTCGTGATGGCGATAGGTACTTGATTGAACTGCTGCCGTGAAATTTCAATATTGTCGATTTTATTTCAATATACTAGATCGTCAATTTTATTTCATGCAATGATTTGCAAACTTCTTAATGCACCTTCGTCATCATCCAGTATCAAAAGCATAGGAAATCCAGAACATTGTGTCAAATTTTCAATGCCTTATCGATGTGTTCATGGTCAAATTCACCTGAAAATTTTGGATTTCAATCTCAGCTTTTGGCAACATATTACGCACATTTCCAGGTTTCATTGTGGTGAGAATTGCGGAGAAATTAAGAGAATTTTTAGATTTTACTACGAGAATCCAGGCATATTCACTCGTGGTCAGCTGTTCGAGATCCGAAAGAGTAGTCTGGCACGTTTGTTGTGTGATAATGGCGACAATATCAACTTTGTACCACGCGAGGCCTTCCGTCTCGGACGTATGACGCCGTGTAGTCAAATCCCACAAATGGATCTGTCAAGGTGGAAAGAACTCTGATCCAAAACATTTGTAACACTTTGGTTGATCTCTCTCGTTCGTCCGTATATTTCAGTAGACTTCTATTTGCGTGTGTTTGTTTCATAGTCATTTAATATCGCTCTTATCAATCGCTATTGTTATGATCTTATCAGGATTTGGTCATTTTACAAATACTTCTGTAACTAATTCCTATTATAATTATAATTATTATTGCTGAGTACGTTCGTATTTCTCCTAAATACTTCTAGTTCTCCCATTCTATTCCTCAAATTTCCATATTTCTGTGTACGTTGCTCTTCTGTCTGTTCAAACCTCTCAGTTTGAAGTGATAATGCAAAAATGACAAATTTACTCGAGAATGCTCGAATCTGTGTGTTTGTAACTGTATTATTATTATTATTATTATTATTATTATTATTATTATTATTAT